TTCAGCTGTTTCCAAAATATTGTCTAAACTATTCATAGTATATGAACAGCTTGCCAATAGAAAGAACACTATTTTTAAAAACATCAGCTTTGTTCAGAATGTCCAAGTTTTTTCATGAGCATAGGGGAGTAACTATTTTTAGATCTTCAGGAAAAAAATAGTGCTAATAAGATATTGCTCATCTTGTTAAATAGGCACTTTTAAATCTAGTCTTTCTTGGTATAACCTTTCCTTTGTATTAGTGACCCATGAAATTGAATCTCTAAATCCACACTTGATGGATCAATAATACACCTAAACAGATTCTATGAATTAACTTGACCTGACCAAGAAAAAATGTAACTTAAAAAAAGTTTTAAAAAAGCCAGCTTTCAGTACCATTCCTGTTAGATCGGGTGAATGGATGAGGCAGATTCAGGTTTTAGCAACAACAGCTCAATTAAGCAGCAACTATGTACAATACAGCAAAGATTCTGTCTGGCAACAGCCTTTTTATAGGGAGCTGTCAGACCCTTCCACCAATCAGATTTGAATACTGTTCCCACCGGAACAGAGGACCTTGGTGGAAACTACTATACTGTTTCTCAGTATGTAATACCCCTCCCCTCTTAGTTGGGTTTGTCCAGCTTGTGACATAGTCATGCAGGTAGGTGGGCTTTCTGGTGGCTCACCCAGACCTGCACAGTTCAGTCGGCGCTGGATCTTCGGTCAGGTCGGACGGACCTGTTCTCTCTGTGGCTTCACCTGGTGGAAGCTTCTGGAACTTTCCACAGGACACGGCTGGAGTTTCTGGAGCCGGTTTGCTTGGAACTTGCTGCAGCCCTGCAACCTCTTCAGATAAGTACCCTAGTACCTTCGAGCTTGAGATGTCTATGAAAGGAGTGAATTTGTGCTCCTTTTGGGTAGGGCTTTGGCTAACTCGTGCAGGAGTTACCTCTGGCTGCCTAAGATTGGATTGGGAGAGGCGGCCATGGAGTTGGTCTATGTGCCGCTCCAAGTTTGACCATCCTCGAGATCCAATTGATATGAGTGAGGTCCAGTAATGCTGGTAACTGTGGCAGGAATCCAGAGGGTCCCCCCAGCATAGTTGTGGGTGTAAACTCGATCCCCTACGCTAAAGTGTCTAAGTTTGCTGGTCGAATCAGGGGGTGTTGCGGTAGAGTAGTTTGGGTGTAGCCGGTCTAAGTGCAATCTTAGCCGGCGACCCATTAGAAGCTCGGAGGGGCTTCTCCCGGTAGTAGCACTTGGTGTGATGTGCTGTATGAAGAGGAATTGATCAACCCGTGTTTGCCAAGCTCCCAGCCCCATCCAAGATAGGGCTTCTTTAGCAGATCGCACCATTCTCTCCGCCTGTCTGTTACTGGCTGGATGGAATGGAGTGACCAGGGCATGCACGATTCCCTGCAATGCTAGGAAGGTCTCGAATTGCATGGCCATAAATTGGGGCCCGTTGTCAGAGACCAAGATATCGGGTATGCATGGTTGGAGAAAAGTCTCTGTAGTGCCTTGATGACTGATTCTGCTGTGGTAGTGGCCATGAGGACTATCTCTAACCATTTTGAGTAGGCGTCCACAACTACCATGAATATTTGGCCACGAACTGGGCTGGCAAAGTCAATGTGCACCCTAGACCACAGTGTTGAGGTCACTCCCACTCCTTAGCGGGCGCCTCTGGGGGAGCTGGTCTGGACTCCTGGCATGGTGTGCAGGTAGCCACCCATTCCTCAATCTCCCTATCCATGTTAGGCCACCACATGCAATTCTAATTAATACTGTGTAATACTGTCATATGGTTCATGGATCAACTTGTTCTCTTCATTGATGTCACCAAAACATGAACATAATGTTACTATGGTTTGATATGTTCATTTATATCTATTACTGGAAATTTTCCTAGAAATTATTCCCTGATTCAGAATACAAAATCAGATTCTACAAAAATTACTATTTTGGAACATGCATATGCAAAAAGTCATTTAGCATAATGTCATGTTTATATTCTATATAAAGTCCTCAAAAGTTTTAAACAGGGGCCAATTCATGGTCCCCAGACTGTTGGGGGGGGAATACTGGCTGGGTGGCGTGGCTAGATGGTTATGTGACTGGGTGGGCATGGCCAATTTAGCAGTCCATTTTGCCAATTTAGCAGTTGCTTAAACAATATACACAAATTAAACTTTTATTTGTTTTGCTCCTGAGTGTGTTTTCTTTTCTTTTCTTTACATGTCGCTCTTTTGGTTGACTTCTTTTTACTAGATTGTTTTAAGTTATTTAGGAGTCTAGTGGTCCACTTCAGGAAACTCAGTTTTTCAGCAATTCTTCTCAGTCCCAAGGAGCTTACAATCAACAAGTCTCTCTCTCTCTCTCTCTCTCCCTCCCTCCCTCTCCCCCTCTCCCTCTGCTTTCCACTATTTGAGCCCCTGTGAAGAAATTAAAATTGAAGGGCAAATGGAGATGGGGAACAGAAACCAGGACATGGAATCCTTGATGGGTACAGAGATGAAACTGACTCCTGGGGCATCTTCTGCAGGATCCCCTTCAATCCTGGCAGTATCCTGGGATACCACATTGAATTCTATTCCATTCCTTTCCATTTCCATTTCCATTCAATTTCATCCTATTGCTATTGATATTCCATTCCATCCCATCCCTTCTGATTCCCATTCTATTCTCTCCTATTTCCATTCCATTCCATTCTACTCTATTAGCATCACAGCAGTCTCAATTCACTTTTGAAATCTTACTGGCCATCCTGGAGCTTCCTCTGCACATGCTGAATATGTGCAACAGGCTCCGGCAGGCAGGCTCAGACCGGGCAGGCATCCCATCCATCAGAAACCTTCTGCCAGTCAAAAATGGGATGCGCAGAAGCGCCCCAGGACACATGTGCATCCCGTTTTTGGCTTTCCTGCTTCTCAGAAGCACTCTGCCAGTCAAAAACAGGATGCAGAGAGGGGCCCTAGGGCATCTGCACGTCCGGTTTTTTTTCCTGCCCTGCCCCTATAAGTCTTCTGCCAGCCAAAAACCGGACATGCAGAGGTGCCCCGGGGCATCCGCACATTCTGTTTTTCACCTTCCCGCTCCCCAGAAGCCTTCTGTCAGCCAGATGATCCCATGGGATAAAAGGCATACAGGTGAATCACCATCACTAGTGAAGGGCAGATGCAACCTTTATCAACTTTCTCTGCAGTTGCCCTACTTTATGGAACTGTCTTCTTTGGGAGATTAAAATGGCCCAACCCTGTTGGTTTTTCATAAGGCCCTAAAAACCAGGCTATGTTCCCAAGCTGGGGGCACTGAATGTGTCAAGGGCCCCACTTCCTGTCTTTACTGCTAAGTGGCCAGTATCTCAGCTGCTATGTATATTTATTTTGCATGTTCTTATTTTTGTTGCTATTGTTTTAAAAAAAATTAGTGATTTAATTGTAATATATTTTAAACTGTAAGCTGCCCAGAATCATTGATTGATTCTATGAGTATTATAGAAATTGAATAAAGAAATTTTAAAAATTAAACTTGGTACTTGAACATCTGGGATATGTAGTCCTAATATGCTCTGTCTGTCCTCTGCATCTAGCAGGCTGCCAGAGGAGGGACATCTCCCTTTTTTATCCTTACTACGTACATAGACTACAGTTCTATTTTTAAAGACAAATATTGTATGTTGCTTATCACAAGGCTGTATTATTATAAAGGCTTTTCCCCCAACTTTAATTTCTTTAATTTCTTTTCTTTTTCTGCATCACAGCCTTGTACTTTCTTAAAATATGCAATTAACTGTGATTTAAAATAAATTCCAAAGCAAAGTGGTTATTTGAGGGGCAAATAAGAACAAATGCACAGTTGCTTTTATTATTTTTCCTATACACCACCAACCAAGTATATGTCGCCTGAGTCCACTGGAGTTAAGCAGTCAATAAATTTAAATAAATACATAAATGTCATAACCTAGGTGTGGTTGTGAAGAGGAGACAATTATCTCACTTCAGTGACAACTTCCATTGCTACAATTGATTGTTTTCTCCAGTCAGAGGGATTAATAACAGTAGATATAAACAGTTGGATAAGTAAACATGGCTGATATTTTCTGTTTTCTATCCTCATGTCTTAGCATATCTGTCTTTATCCTCAATTGTTTAATATAGTATCTTGTAAAATTGATGAGACCCCTAAAATCCAGCCTTTGGTATCTTTTTTTTACATAATTAATATTCTACAACTTACTTGAAAATAGGGCAGGGGCAAAGGGAATAGAAATGGAAAAAATATTTTGAATTATTTTGATAATTCTGATAAGTTGTACTTAAATTTTCATAGAAATGAGGAAAAAGAAATCCAATGGTTTAATCTTACAAAGCAAGGTAATGTTCTATCTTTCTAATAATAACTATAAAGAAAAAGAAGGCATGTGGAAGAGGGAAAGTTTGGGATATTTAATTGCATTATTTGCCCCAGAACAGCTGCCAAGTATATGAAATAAAGATAACCGAATATGAAAAAGCATATACGATTAAATCAGCAGGGCACCATAGAAACACTAAATGATAAGTCCACAGGACAATACATTATATGTCTGAGGTGACAGCTATCTCAAAACCCTAAGTTTAGATTCAATCAGATTGTATGAAATAAAATGGAAGCCTTTAATATGCAATACAAAATGAACAAGCTTTAAAATATGAACAGGATGAAGTATATGTGCTCTTAGGTTACAGTGATTTTCCCTGAACATTCTGTTCTGAAGTTTCTATGGCCAAAGGCAGGAGAACAGTAATATAAATGCTAATTCCAAACCCTGAAGAAATTCTTTCAAGATATGCTGGCTGGATTTCCACATTGCACTGAGTCATTGTTTCCTTAACCATAGATTATGGAATAGGACACATCATATTTATACATTGCACTGGAATCCTCAAATCATCTGGTCAATAGGCATACTTGGAATTTGAAAAGCATAGTATGGTGTCCCATAAAATGGCCATTAGTTTGAAAATTAATACCAGAGGTCGGAGATCTCATCTTCAATCTAACTTCCTCCATCCCCAGTGGTGCTTTCATGTCCATGACAGTTTCAAGCCAAAGGATAAAGAAGTAGAGGATTGCTAACTTGGAAACAAAGCTTTTGTAATCAGTCCTGATTAGGCCCTGCTGCGTTTAGATAGAGAGGACAGAAGCTTTTAATATGATAAACTTTCTCTGAATACAGTTAAATAATAACATAAAATAGTAAGATAGCCCACTTTTATATCTTTGTATAATTGATCAATTGTGTAATTAAATGTCATTTTGCTTGACTTTCTGCTTTTGTAGGAATATAATTATGCTTTGTTGCTCAAGTTCCTGAATTTGCTGTTCACACCAGATCTTGGTGGCTTAAATTTGGATTTGGATTTTATTCAATTTGTAGGCCGCCCTATTCCCCGAAGGGACTCAGGGTGGCTGAACA